TAACGCCCCCAAGGGTGAAAGGGCGAGCATGTTTGGTGTGACGGGGATACTCGTACATAATAATACAAATAACTCAAGTAAATAAGTTTTAATGGTAAAGATTTTAGTATTTAAGTAAACATTCAACAATCATGAATATTATCATGATAAATTTTATGTGAATAACTGTTTATTTTAAACATAATGTCACTCATTTAAAATACATAGGGGACCCAGCAGTGGGATTAATTACAATATTGATACCAGAGGCGTCGCTAGGTGCTTAAAAGATTCGGGGCGCGAGAATTTTCGGCGTTTCAGTATGATATCGATCATGGTTTTCTATTCTGATTTTTCGAGACACGGGTGTCAGTGCCTAACGACGCCTCTGATTGATAGTTTTTTATTTATTTTTTTATGAACCGTACGTTATTATTAAGTTCAATTTAATTATTAAGTCATATATCCATAACCAATTTGATTCATAAATAGTTAAGAAAAATACGTAAAAAGCCCAATGGAATCAATGAATAACACCACGTTATTCGTCTTATAAAATGTATGTCGTCCCAACGACTTAAGAAATTCCTAATGTACAAAACACGCATTTTTAGAATATATTATTTGTATAAAAATTGTTATGTCAAAAAGAATGACCCAACTCAGTAGAACAGCGATAAGACTTGTGACGCTAAAAATTGGGTTTTCATAACACAAATAGCCCGTTGTGTAGCTTTGTACTTAATAAATATTTTCTCATAGTTTACGTTTTTACCACTATCGTAGTCACATGCGCTATTTTTAGTTTTAAAAAGTTTAACAGTTTGAGTGGTATTACCTGTTTTGTAAGTACGATTAAAATGGGAATTATGCATGAGCATCAATCTATTTTTAAGTGGTTCCTCTATCTCGTTATCACTGTGTGCGTGTTGGGGGGGTGGGGGTGATCCAGCCTGAAATATTTTCAAAGAGGGTTCAGCCGAAAAAGTCTTTGAACCCTCTGCTTAATTGTATAAAGGCAAATATATATATATATGAATTTCTTGGAAGTCAGTAGTTAGCGATGCCACTACAACGAGGGGTTGATGTCATCAAATTGATGAGGTCATAGTACCAATTTTGTCGCCAGAGGGCGCGTTGCTATGCGGCCATGATGGATGATTAAGTAATAGTACCACAAAGTAGATAACTTGTTTCTAGACAGCCGTTACTCATACAATGCAGGTCTCATCACGTCTATAGTTAATCACTACTTAATTAAATCGTCCTAAAAAGGACGCTTAACACCAATTTATTAAATAATTTATAATTCAGTCAAGTCCTGAAAAAGTACACTTTGTAATTAATTTATCCTATAAGAGATGATACAATAATTAAAACTTATTGTTCAAAGATTTTCAGTACTAAATTATTACTTTTCCTGTCCTAAAAGGACACTAAAAGGGCAATATCATACAATAATTAAAACTTGTACTTTTACTAATTTGACTGGAAGGCCTACAATGGAGGATAGCCCTAGTGTACCTGGACGATGTCATTGTGTTTGTAACAACGTTTGATGAAGAAATGTCCCAGCTAGAAGAAGTATTCAAGCATTTGAAAGCAACAAACCTCAAACTCCATCCCAAGAAATGACACTTGTTCCAGAAAGAGGTGCTCTACTTGGGTCTCATTGTAAGTGAGCATGGTGTGCAAACTGATCCTGACAAGGTGAAAGCAGTGCGTGATTGGCCAACATTAGTCAATGTAGGAGAGTTAAGAAGTTTCTTGGGACTCTGTACCTATTGCCGGAAGTTTGTGAAGGACTTTGCAACTATAGCTAACAAAAAGGGCCAGAAGTTCTAATGGACAGTTTCTTGCCAGCATGCTTTTAAGACATTGAAAGAAAAATTGGCCACAGCTCCACTTTTAAAGCTTCCAAATCCCTCACTGCCGTACATACTGGATTGTGATGCTAGTTATGTCGGAATTGTAGGAGTTTTGTCTCAGAAAGTGGGCGAAAACGAACATGTGGTGGGCCTACTTCAGTAGGGTCCTGAGTAGACCAGAAAGGAACTACTGTGTAACACAGAGGGAACTCCTTGCTACAGTAAAGAGTCTGACATATTTCTATCCTTACCTCTATGGGGCTAGGTTTACCATCAGGACAGACCATGATTCATTACTCTAGTTAAGATCATTAAAGAACCCAGAGGGACAACTGGTACGTTGGATCGGAAAGATAGACCAGTATAATTATGATATTGAATACAGAGAAGGAAAATCTCATGGAAATGCCGATGGACTGAGCCGAAGACCCTGCAAAAATGACTGCAGACATTGCTGCAAAAGAGAGAGGTTCAGCTAATCAGGTGTCATCAAGCTGAAGTCAAAGTGACGGAAGGAGTTGATGATGGTGAAGTGGAACCAGGTATAGATATTAAAGCAGAGCAGGAGAAAGACCAAGATTTGAAGCCAATAACTGATTTTCTAAAAGCAAGTGTTTTGCACCCTGCTTGGGAGAAGGTGTCCAGCTTAAGCCCTGTGACACAGAACTATTGGGCACAATGGTACCAGTTGAAGCTTGAAGATGGTATTCTTGTCCGGAGATGGGAAACTGCAGATGGGAAAGTGACGACCTGGCAAACAGGTATACCGAGAAAGTTACGGGAAGTTGTACTGCGTCAATCCCATGATAGTTTAACAGGAGGACATCTTGTAGTTAAGAAGACATTGAATTACCTATGGCAAAGATTTTACTGGATAGGTATGAGGCGAGATGTGGAGGAATGGTGCAGGACATGCAGTACATGTTGTGCTAAAAAGGGACCAAAGCATAAGGGATGTGCCCCAATGAAGTTATATCAAGTTGGTGCACCAATGGAACGAGTGGCCGTTGACATTGCTGGTCCTTGGCCCCAAACTCGTGCTGGAACAAGTAAATTTGTGTGGTGATGGATTATTTCACCAAGTGGCCTGAGTCATATGCAATACCAA